TGGACATTGGGTAGGGTATGTGCTATGGTGAGTGCTGTGAAGTTTGTAAACGTGGAGATTCACAGACCTGTACCCCTGGGGGGGGGAAATATATATATATGTTTATAAAAAATAAAATTAAAAAAAAAAGAGTGGGCAGATTAGAGACAGCTGACTATAAAGGCAATGCTTTCTATTTTATTTTCCTAAACATTTTCCCTCTACTCCCCCTACACTCATACTCCCGTATCCCTATTTTACCTCTCCTCCTCCGTCCTTCTTTCATCAGTTTTCCAAGAGCTACCCTTTGACTCCTCCTTCCCATTCCCCACACTCCTAGCAGGATACTTAGATGGGGAGCTGTCATTCTCCCTTCTAGGTGGTATCAAAATTATTTTGCCAGCCTTATTAAAGGTGTGATCCTAGAAAAGCTGACTTTAATGCCTCCCAACAGGGATCCTGTGCCCCAGGTAATCCTTCAAAGCTACTTCTTGGTGGTTGGTCTTGTGTTTCTGATACATGACTTACTTTAAGCTTATTTGTTTATCATATAGAGGCGAAGAGCATAGAAATTAAAACCCGACAGACACGGATTCCGAGTGTGGCTCTTCCTCTTGCTGTCTGTGTGGCCTCGGGCAAGCCACCCAACATCTCCAAACCTACATTGCTCCCTCTAGAAAACAGAAATGAAAATAATCTATTCCTTACTGCTAGGAAGAGAAATGAATGAGTTTATGCATGTAAAGCCCTACCTAGCATAAGATAAGGTATATGGCACAGAGTGAGAGGTCATTAAATATTAACTATGATTATTACTGCAGCCTAATAGTGGTGTGTGTGTGTGTGTGTGCAGATACAAGGCATACTGTCCAGGGAGTGAGGCCAAAACATTAGTAAATGAATATAGCATCAAGTGGATTCTACCATACTTGCCACACAAACTAACAAGATAGAGAAGAAAAGATCAGTTCTGATGAGCAAAATGTATAATGTTTTGGAGGTAGCGTTTTCCCTTAGCATCAAACAATGAGTGGCACTTATATAGGCAAAGATGGGAAGAAGGGACCTCTGGATTGAGGGGACAGTCCGAGCACATCATGGATGCAGAAAAATTACAGGCTGTTCTTGGAGGCCCACTTGGAGAAGGGGAAGCTGGGGCAGAGGTTGTGTGCTCACCTGTGTTCGGGGTCATGGAGGGGAGAGGGAGGGTTGGAGAGCTCCCCCATATTCCTTCTTTCCCAACTTGGTGCTGCTTTAGGGCAGAGATCTTGTGTTATTTGTTCCCTGCTATTCAGTGCCTGGCACATGGTAGCAGGCACTTACTAAGTAATGGTTGAATGAATGAATGAGAGATTTCTAGGCTGTGCTGTTATCACAGCTGGAAATGGGGAAGTAGAGGGACAAAGGGGCATCAATATTTTACTTTAAACATTGGGTCCCTGCTTCACATAAAGATATTTTGCTGAAGATTATGGAACATAATTTGGACAGGCAAGGTGCTTGTCAAGTCCAAGAATGTCACCCTGGAAGGTGGTAGCAGCAGGCTGTTCTGCACAGAGCATGTCAAACCAGGCTGGAACACTGGGTCAGAGATGTAGACATGGGAGCTAACAACACAGATATGGAACTTGACTCCTTGGACTTGGCACAAGAAAAATCTATGCAGAAGTCATGGTCATATCCCAGTTATTAGGGACTTGACAGGATAAGGAAGAGAGGTAGAGGTCAATGACTTGACAATGCAGGAAAGCTTAGTGCCTTAATTCAGTAACAACAATGGACAAAGTATGTGGGGAGATGGAGGGGGAAGTTCTCTAGGGAGTAAGAGAAGTGAAAGATGCTGGAGAGTAAAGGAAATATTTTAGTTATCTGAATGGTGGGATGCAATGTGGTTCTGAGTGACCATTAATGGGAAAATCCCCTTTGTCTAAGGATGAAGACATGAGTGAGAGAAGAGATGGGAGGTAGTCAGGTGTGGAGGAGAGACAGTATAGTGAGGGGTAGACGGGGTGGTCAGGTGTGGAGGGGGGATGGGATGGTCAGGTTTGAAGGAGGAGACAAGGTAGTCAGCTATGGAAGGTGATGACTTGGTCTTCATATAGCTGGAGGCTAAGTTTTCCACACACCGCGAGTCTTGGGCATTTAGGTTGAAATGGGAGTCTTAGGAGGGATGGTCTTTTGTGAACTAAGAAGATGCATAGAGCTCAGCAAAGAGATTTCTGAGGAGTATCATCAAAGCTTAGACTTGGTTGCTGAAAGGTTAGACTTAGAATGTGAATGGCATTGCTGTGTCGTGAGCAGCATGGGCTAACCTGCTGATACCACTTATAGTCTGGGAGGAGGCACGGAGGAGGCAGACTGTGTGCATGAGTCCACCCTGTGGATGGAGCTGGAGGGTGGGGGTTGGGGGCCAAAGATGGATAGGGCTACGCTGGTTTCTCATGAGGAAGACAAAGTGGGAAGGGGCTGATAGCATCCTGAATAAGGACTGATGGAAGCCCCAAAGAGATTGGAGAGGAGGTTTGGTGAAATAGGGCAGGGAAGTGAAAATATAGCACATACAAATTATAAAAGAGGCAAACTCTGTTTTTTGGCTTCTGTACTTCCATACACTTGATGATCTTCTATCCCATCAATCATCACAGATTCTCTCCTTTATTTAACAAACATCGATCGTGCCCCTGTCTTGCAGCAGATACAGAGATGGACAGAAACAGACTCATCCCTGAACTCATGAAGCTACTGACAACTGTGAGGTTGATTAGCAGAGTGTACACTGTTTTGCTATATTCTCTTTAGAAAGAGGGACAAATAAGAATTATAGGAGCTCTCCATTGTAAAATAAAGCTGACGGGGGTGGGGGACAACTAACCTCTTCATTCTGTCAAAGACTCGATGATCACATAACAATTTTAGGGGGAGGGCATCTGGATTATTTTTTTAAATCATGAAATTCTTTCTGTGGAGACCAGAGCTGACCAATGTAACCAGAAATTTTGATCAGAAGGTTTTAAAATTTCACTGGCTCTATGGGTCATTCAAAGGACCAAATTGTGCTATAATTTCATCTATTTATTTGTAGATAGGACATTGAATGAATTTGATATTCAGTAAGCAGTGATATTGGGCATTTTGACATGTGCCAAGCACAAAGACACACAAAGTATGTCATCTCTAACAGGCAGTTAAATTTGTTCTAGGACTGTTGAAGACCTTTTGGCTGGTAGCATTTTCAGGTAGGGCTCCCTCCCACCCCAGTCAAAGCATAGCTGACATACAGTATTATGTTAGTTTTAGGTGTATAACATGGCAAATGGACAATTCTATATATTATGCAATGCTCACCATGTGAAGCGTAGATACCATCTGTCATCTCTACCAAGTTACTACGATACAAAGCATATATATTGTCTATGCCGTACTTTACACTCCTGTGACTCATTTATTTTGGATCTGGAAGATTGTACCTCTGAATCCCTTCACATATTTTACCCATTTCCCTACCCCCTCTCCTCTGGTAACCACCAGTCTGTTCTCTGCATTTACGAGTCTGTTTCTGTTTTTGTTGGTTTGGAAATAAGTCAGACGGAGAAAGACAAATGCCATATGATTTCACTTACATGTGAAATCTAAAAACCAAAACAAATGAACCAGTACCATTTTAGACTCATGGTAGCATTTACCAAGTCTACAGCCTACAGCCCCATCCAGAATTCTGAGAATTAATACAAAATATACACTGTGCATGAGAAGAAGGAATTTTAAAAAAGGTATTTGAAGGTAAAATGTTTGCAAGGCCAGAAATAGAGTGCTGGTAAGGAGCATAGGAGAACAGAAGGACAGGGTTGGGGAGCCCTGCTGCCCTGGTGGGGTCTGCGAGCCTAAACTTGGCCTGTTTAGTCCTGTGGCCAGGCTAATGAGCAGCTTCTGATCATCGGATATTGTCTGCGGTTTTCCAGCGTGGGGAAAATATTCTGGGCTTGTCTCCATTGCTGAGGTGCCATGTTGCTTAAAATAAACTCTTGTGGTGGCGCCCCGTCCCTGCTTTTCTAGTTCAGGTTCCTGTGAGTTCAGTTAATGTGAGTTAGCCTCTAATAAAATTGGAAAGGAGACGGAAACACTTTTCTGCATTGACAAAGCTGAGGTCCCTAACCTTTAGTCACATCACTAAGGTCTTCTAGGGGCCAATCTGATGGTGCTTTATCCTGCTATCACCCTTTATCCTGCTATCATCCTTTGGTCTCCCAGACCACCCAAGACTGATCAACTGAGGGCTGTATTTTCTTTAGCACTAAGAGTAACTCCATGGTCTCCCTGTTCACCCATTAAGACTGTTGCCTTGTGGAAAGAGTGCCTTGAAGCAGGACAGATCTAAATTTTAGTAGTGGTTCTGCCACTTACTGTTTGGGTGACCTTGCCTATGACAGTTAACTTATCCAAACTTGCATTTTTTTTCCGTGTAAATAATAAATTCCTACCACACGGTTGTGAGGAAATTGCAAGGGTGAACAGTGATGTATGGGAGACAGGTGACCCAGTCCTCGGATGAACTAGTGGAGGCCTCTGTTTACGGAAATATTTGCCAAAGAAAGAGAGTGAGGGAAACCCCAAATCTTTTCTTTAGAGTGAGGAAGGAGGGGAGGGTCACTAGACAATGCCACCATGGGAGAAGTCCAGCTGGGCAGAAGACAGGTGTAGATGTGGAGGCTTGCCTGCTGTCCTGCACCTAGAATGGGCCACCAAGCCCTCTGCCACTGAAGTTCCCATTCAGGTGCCGCAGGAGAGGCGGGGTATCACCGCGGCCCCTCCCTTGGGTTGCACCCCCACCCCCCACCCGCTCACCTCCGCGACCAAGCAGGTGTCCCCCGGAGCCGTGGTTACTAGACGCGAGGGCGTCCATGGCAACCGCCTGCCGCTGGGTTTCCCTCCGTTCCTCCCACTCCCGCCTCCCGCCTCCCACCGGCCAATGGGCTCCCGGCGAGCCGGCAGGGGCGGTCGTTGAGTGGTCCACGGGCGCTGACGTCACAGGTGGGGAAGGCGGGGCCAGGACCGGACGGGTTGGCGTCCCAGCCACCAAGGGCGGTAGGTGGGGGACTGCCACCCTTCCCGCTCACCGCCCCTTCCCCGCCCCTCGCCCGCAGCCGCTGACAGGTGAGTGGTCTGGTCGGCTCCTGCCTGCCGCTGGGACGACCCCTACAGCGTCCCCTTCCCCAGTGAAGCCCCAACGTCTGACCTCAGAATTCGGGGTGAAGTCGTGGTAACCTGGAATTCCTCTCCCCAATCTCACTTCCCTGCCCCCACCCTTCAAAATAGGAACCACACAGACCCACGGGCACCAGCTACCCCCCCCCCCCCCAATGCCTGATGCTTGTTGTCAAGGACTGAGAAGTTATTTCCAAATGCGGAACCAGGAAAGGGGCGTCCGACCCCTCGACCCGGTGCTCACTCGTGTAATATCTTATACCGGTGAGCGGTGCTGTGCTTTGCCACCGCAGCGCTGGGTCCGGCCTCCTCCGCTGGGTTTTCAAGGGCCGCCCAGGGGAGGGCCGTCCAACCGCCTGGCTGTTCCCGGAGAGTTCCTGAGATTCTGATCAGGGCAGGTGCTCCCTCTTGGCCTGCGGCCAATTCTGTTCTGCTCTGACCCTGAAGCTCTTAACTTGTGTTTGGACCTTTTAGATCAAACCGCTTTATGTTTCCTCCCTGGTTGCTTATGATGGTGTAGATAAATATTTCAGAAATGCATAATATTACTTGTTTGGCCACCGTGAAAACAAGCAAGCAAATTGTTTCACTAATAGACGAAGTGTTCCGAGGTTTCTGATAAAATATTCTACTTTTTTTTTAAATTAAGATTTTATTTACTTATTTGACAGAGCTCACAAGTAGGCAGAGAGGCAGGCAGAGAGACAGGGGGAAGCAGGCTCCCCGCTGAGCCGAGAGCCTGATGTGGGGCTCGATCTCAGGACCCTGAGATCATGACCTGAGCCAAGGTAGAGGCTTAACCCACTGAGCCACCCAGGCTCCCCCCCTCCCCGACTCTTTTCTTTTTAAAGTGAAATATTTTCCGCAATAAATAGTGTTCAAGCATCCATGCCTCACTTAAATAAACAAGCTAACAACTTTACAGTCGTGGATGAGACCTCCCTCCTATGCATCCCTTGGGAATCCCATTTCCCTTCTTTCCCAGCAATACCCACCTACCAGAACTTGCTGTTGACTTACATTCTGTATATTCATAGACCATTTCTACTAACGTATTTGTTGAAAAACGAATATACAGTGTTGTTTTCAAAGTTTATATAATGGTATCGTGCTGTAGGTCATTCATTTTAACTGCTGTGTGATAATGATTGTATGAACTTAATACAAATGATATATGCCTACTCCTCTTGATAGACTTTTAGACTGTTTCCTTTTAAAAACTGTTAGAAACATTCTTGTACATTCTTCTACATTCTTCGGTACGTACTTGAGTTTCTCTAGGTATATCAAAAGGTTGCATTGCTGAGTCATAGGGAATGTGCTTTTTCAGCTTTTTTTGTTAGATGCTGCCACATAGATCTCCAATGTATGTTAATTTATATTTCCAGTATCAGTGAAGACGGTTCTGTATTATACATTTTTTTTGGAAGAAAGGGATTAACTTAATGACCCAAAATATAAGATGTTGCCATGCTATTGTCTTCTAATCAGTCTTTCTGAATGACTTATAAGATGGCTGGCTGGAGCTTCTTATTTATTTATTTACTTATTTATTCATATTTAGTATATGCATAAAGATAAATTGCTTAAATGTTGAAATCTGATATAATTTTTTAAAAAGTCAGCTGCTCGTTAATGTAGTGGGGGCAGTGTTTCATTTTTGCCCCAGTTTGGAACTGTGAGTAATTAGATGGATACAACCAAAGCAGCTAAGGGGGTTTGTATGTGATCTGTTAAGCCTATCCTGGTCACTTATCTGAGGCAGAATGTGGAGAAATTCATGGAAATCTGTTCTTGTCATGTCTTCTGTACAAAATAATCCACAGGTTTTTATGCCTTAAAATATTTATGATTTTAAAGTCTTGACTAAATATGCTAATAAAATATGTTTATCCTACTTGAGGTCATCTTCTGGATTATAAGTGAGGCTTCCCAGTACCTATAGTCTTTGTGTTATTGATTATATTTTTAGCATGTTAATATTTATAGAAGACAATTATAGCATTTTTTTTCCAGTAGGTAAGTAACTATTGACTCCACATTAAATAAATACACTGTATTTGACTTCATTTCTTAAAATGTTTTTTGGTTCATGCCAAAAGCATAATAGAAAAACAATTGCATAATTTAGGGTATGAATTTTTCCACAGCTATTTTCAGTCATTTTCCAAAGAATTTGTTCAGTTTGCTTGCAAATAGGAGACATTTATAGCATCAGTTAATGATCTTAGTATGTGCTTCATGAGCCCTGTTAAGATGTGACTGAGTTAGAATTTAGAGAATGATTTAAATGTTGTAAAAGTCACATCATCAAAGTAAGCCATAGGCTTTTAAAAAAACTCCTCCTTAAAACTTTGGTAGAATTCGTGAACAAACCCATTTAGGCCTGAAGTTTTCTTTGAGGGAAGATTTTAAGCTAGAGACTCAGCTCCTTTAAGTACTACAGGGTTATTCAAGTGATCAATTTCTTCTTTAGTCAGTTTTGGGTGTTTGTCATTTTAAAGCATTTTGTACATTTCATCTCTGTTGTCAAATTTCTTGGAGTAAAGTTGTTAGTAACATTGTTTTATTAACTGTTTAATGTTTGCCGGGGTTCTGTGTCAATATCTCTTTTTCTTTCCTGATATTAGTAATTTATCTCCTCTCTTTTTATCTTGATCAATCTGGCAAGAGGTCTATCAATTTTATTGTTAGAGTCTCACTGCTTTTTTCCCCCGTTTGTCCATTTTCTATTTCATTGACTTTTCTCTTTTTATTATTTATTTCCTTCTACTTCGGCCTTACTTTGCTGCCCCCACCCCCCGCCCCACACCTTGCCATCAAGAATAAAGTGGAGGACATTGATTTTATTTTATTTTAAAAAATTTTATTTATTTATTTGAGAGAGAGAGAGTAGAATGACACAGAGAGCATGAGCAGAGTTGGAAGGGCAGAGAGAGATGGAGAATCGGGCTCCTTGCTGAGCAATGATGTGGGACTAGATCCCAGGACTCTGGGATCATGACCTTAGCTGAAGGCAGATGCTTAACCAACTGAGCCTCCCAGGTGTCCCAAGATCATTGATTTTAGCTAACTTTCTAGTGTAAGCATTGAAAGCTATACACTTCTGCCTAAACACTATTTTAGCTGCATCTCACAATTTTGATATGCTCTGTTTTTATTCTCATTCAGTTCCAAATGTTTTCTAATTTTTCTTCATTGACCTAGAGGATATTTAGAAGTGTGTTGTTTAGGGGTGCATGGGTGGCTCAGTCAGTTGAGCATTCTACTTTTTTTTTTTTTTTTAAGATTTTACTTATTTATTTGACAGCGAGAGAGAGAGAGAACACAAACAGGTGGAATGAGAGAGGGAGAAGCAGGCTTCCCATTGAGCAGGGAGCTCCATCCCAGGACCCTGAGATCATGACCTGAGCTGAAGGCAGATGCTTACCGCTGAACCACCCCGGCACCCCTAGCATTCTACTGATGTCGGCTCAGATTTTGATCTCAGGATTATGAGTTCAAGCCCCGCATTGGGATCCATGCTGGGTGTGGAGCCTACTTAGAAAAAAGTGTGTTGTTTAATTTCTTGCTATTTGAGAGTTTTCCAAATATCTTTCTATTTTTGATTTCTAATTTAGTTTGATATAGTCAGTGAACATATTCTGTATCATTTCAGTATTTTATGTTTGTTGAGAACTTGTTTAAGAGTCAGTATATGGTTTACCTTGTTAAATATTCTCTGTGTAGTTGGAAATTGTATGTAATTGCTGTTTAAAAATATTTTTCTTTCAGTTTTATTGAGATAAATTGACATATAACGTGTATGAGTTTAAGATGTACAGCATATCTTACATATATTGTGAAATGGCTACCGCAATCAGTTTAGTTAACATCTGTCATCTCAAATAGGTACAAAAGAATCTGCTGTTTTGAGTGGTGTGTAGATATAAATTAGGTCCAGTTAGTTGTATTTTTCAAATAGCCTATTTATTACCAATTTTGTATTTGTTCTAACAATCACTGACAGAGGTGTGTTGAAATATCTGCTGCAGCTGTGGGTCTATTTCTCATTTTAGTTCTCCCAGTTTTTGCTTTATGTGTTTAATATTCTATTGGTGATTCCCTAGGCATTGAATATCGTTAAAGCTCCTTGATTAAACCTTTTATCCCTATTTCCCTCTTTATTTGTGATGGTATTTATTGTCCTGAAATCTGTTTGGTTTGTTATTAATATAGCCACTTCAATATTCTTTTGATTTGTATTTACATGGTGTGCCTTTTTCCATTCTTTTATTTTTAACTTATCTATGTTTTACATTATAAAATGGATTTTTTGAGATGGCATATTGTTCAATATTGCTTTTTAAAAACCAGCTTAAAAATCTGTGCCTTTTAATTTGACTGTTTAAACCATTTATTATAAATATAATTATCAGTGTGATTTGGTTTGTGTCTACCATCTTGCTACTTGATTCTGTCTTACTTTTGTCTCTTTTCTCTTGGATTATGTATCTTTGTCAGTCTTCTATTTTTCCCTTCCCCTCTTAGCTGATTAGCTTTAATTCTGTTTTGAATCTTTTTGGTCTCAGGACCCCTTTGTACTCAAACAACCTCATGTTGAGTATCTCAAAGAACTTTATGTGGATTGCATCCACTGATATTTATTATATTAGAAATTAAAATCGAACAGTTAGAATACCAATTCTTTTAAAAATAAGCATTACAACCCATTATATAGTAACATAAAATGTTTTATGAAAAGCTATGTTTTTGAAAAAAAGAATATCTAGTGTATTTTTGCTCTGACTTTAAGTTTTTCTCTTTATTGCTGATTTTCAGCAATTTGATTATGATGATCCTTGAGGTGATGGTGGTGATGGTGATGATAGTGGTAGTAGTGTGAGCACACATGTGTGTTTGGGTGTGTGTTTATCTTCTTGGAGTGTTTGGAGCTTCTAAGACCTAGAGATTTGTAGTTTTCATCAAATTTGGAAACTATGCAGCCATTATTTCTTCAAATATTTTTGTCTCCCTCCCCTTTCTATATGACTGATACCCCAAAGAGTTGATATTAGTTTATTTGATATTGTGCCTATATTACTGAGGATTTTCTCTCTCTCTCTCTCTCTCTCTTTTTCATTTGGAGAAAGTCTATACTTTGGTTTAGTTAGATTTAAACTCACTAATCTTTATTTCTCTGGTGTCTATCCTGCAGTTAATCTCATATAGTAAAATTGTTCTAGTATATACTGTATAAGTATATGTTGTATGTTTTATTCCTAAAGTTACATTGGTTCTTTTTAAAAGATCTTCATTATGTTCTTGTTTTCCTTTAAATACTTGTACATTGTTTGCTTGTTCTATCAAATCTTTGTTCTATCAAATCTTTCCTGTTGCAGTCAACAATTTTTCCTAATTATGTGTCAGAATTTTTTCTGCTACTTGGCATGTCTGGTGATATTGATTGAATGCTGGACATTGTGATATTACATATTTGAATGTCTTGATGTTGTCAGGCAATTAAATTACTTGTGGATTAATTTGATCTCTTTGAGGCCTCTTTTTAAGCTTTGATGGGATGAATCTTTAGTACTTTCACTCTGGAGATAGGTCAGCCTTATCTCTAATGTGTGACTCCTCTGGGGTCTCCATGGGATGCTCTAGGTAATCACCAACAACTTTCCACTCTGACTGGTCTGAGTTCAAAATGTCTCTCCACCAACTCTAGAAATAGAACCCTGCCATCATTCTTTGCCAAAGTTCACGTAGTGTCCCTTGATCTACGTGCAGCCTATTGCACAGCAAAGATGCAAGTGGACCCCTATATGGATTTAGGGAGCTATTTTTCTACATAGTTTGCTTTATTCTGGAATCCTGCTTCACAACTTCCAACTGTCCCAGCTTCCTAAAATTCTGATCTCCTCCTCAACTCACAAAGTTGCCATGATCTGTTCAGTTTTCACCTGTTTTTCCCATAATCTGGAAATTGCCTCCAGACAGAATGCCAGGACAATCAGACGGCTTGCCTAATTTGTTTCTCTTTTCTCAGAGATCAGAGTCTTGTCCTGCTTATTGTCCAAGACAGGTGTTTCATATATATTTTCTAGTGTTTTAGATGTAAGAGGCTAAGTCTAGTTTTTACTACTGTATCATGGTTGGAGTCAGAAGTCTATTTTGATTTTTTAAGTATTTCTTAGGCCATGATACCCTCGGTTTCCTTGAACAATAATGACCCAAAATATAAGATGTTGCTGTGCTATTGTCTTCTAATCAGCCTTCCTGAATGACTTATAAGATGGCTGGCTGCAGCTAGAACTTCCATTGTGCAACCATATAGAACATTGTGTCTTGTGTAGAATATTGTCTCCATGTGAAACTTATGGCCACACACCAGGAGCTCTACATCTGAGAGATGTATCTGGAGTTTTATGCTTCAGATTCCAGATTTTAAATTATATCCCATCCCTAATTAAAAGATATATCACTGGAAACTTTTCTAAGCTATATTGAATTTCTCAATCCATCTGTCTCCTCTGGCTTATGAACTTCTGCGTTTCATAAATCACCCCTCATAGTAGATGACTCATGATTTGATAAACATGGGTTTAGATGCCTCAAGACTTCAACATAATAGGTGTTGGGTAAACATATGTGGTAACTCTACACTTAGAATTCCTTGGTTGAAGGACCAAATGATTCGCTAGCTTTTACTGTCAAGAATTAAGAAAATCCAAGTAAGAGTGGCCCAAAGCCCACTTGAAGTTTCTTGCCGAAAGAAAACTGACAAGATTATTTCCAGATTTGACTGGAGAAGTAGTTAGAACTGAAAGTAGCCATGAAGATCCTAAGGTCTCAAGTTGCTTTGAATTTACTTTTTCGAAAAACAGTGTTTAACTTTCAAACTGAGGGGAAGAACTGCAAGTGATTATTAAGGTTTCTCTTTTACCACCATACTCCTAAGCTTGGCCAGTACAAGGTATCTGGGGACTGAGGTAGGGAAGAATTAGGAAGAGGTGAGGAGCTAGGGTTGTGTGGGCCACCACCAAGGCGTGGGCAGCTGTCCCACCGCATGTGAAATGAGTGTGTTTCAATCTAACCACAGTTCTACAAATAGATTATTTTGTGGTTTGGGGACCAAAGGCCTCAAGACATAGCTATTTAAATAATCATCAAATGATTTTTTTTCCTGAGGTGGTTATAGAATTGGATCTGATTTATTTTTCCTTTTCAGTAAATGGATCCATAGACATTAACAACCAAACAGAATGATGTTTACATGCTGAAAAGTATGTCATAGGCTGTGGCATCTTGACTTTCTGGGCTAATAATAACCAAAAGTTCCAGACAATAGAATACCTTTCAACTGGTAAAAAAGATGAAGTGGATCTGTATGTTCTAACAGGGGGAGAGATCAGAAATATATATTTAAAAAATGCATGTTCTAAATAATACCTATAATATTAAGATAATTCAATATTTGTATTTAAAAATCTCTGTTCATACATATAAATGGTATATAAGTAGCATTTTTAAGATAGCCTTAAAAATGATACATATGTTGGTATATAATAGGAAATATCTGGACAGAAACAACTACTAATGAATAGTTCAGTGTTCAAAGGGCTCACTTTTTGGGAGATGAATATTTATCTTTTATTTTGTATATGCTTTTGGCCTAGTAATTTATTTATTATTACTTTTTAAAGATTTTATTTATTTGACAGAGAGAGATCAGGCAGAGAGAGAGGGGGAAGAGAGAGAGAGGGGGAAGCAGGCTTCCCACTGAGCAGAGAGCCCAACCAGGACCCTGGGATCATGACCTGGGTGGAAGTCAGAGGTTTAACCCACTGAGCCACCCAGGGGCCCCTGGCTTAGTAGTTTAAAAAGCTCACATTTATTGAACATTTATTTTGAGCCCAAAACTATGATAAGCATTCCAAATATGTAGCATTGTCTTACTTAGCCCTCCTAACTACCCTAGAGTGTCTGTACTGGAGGTGCCTAGAGGTGGCAAGTTGCCAAGAGAAGGGAGCCAAGTATTTGCCTTGAGGTATGTTTGCATACCAAGCACACTGTTGTTATACCAGTTTTGTGCTCATTTAGGATGACTTGGTAGGGGAAATGCTGCCAAGTAACATCTTGCTATTACTACCTCTCATAATAATCCAGAGAAGTAAGTACTGCTATTATTCCCAATTTAGAGATGAGAAAATTGAGGCACAAATAGGTTAAGTAATTTGCCCAATGCCTCACAGCTAGTAAATAGCAGAGGCAAGATTTGTATCCCTGTTAAAATGCATACTTGAGGCTCTTAATTTAGATTTGTTACAAGATAATAATAACTTGAATTTAAGTAATGATTTTTAAAAAATTCAGAAATTCAAGTGGCCAATTTTAAAAAAATGTAATTTTTAGTATATTCTGGAAACAGAGATGGGAAAAAATATTTTTGGAACATATTATCACTGGTAAAGGTGGATATCAAATTAGAACAAATTCCTAATATGTTAGGGAGTACTGTTACTAGAAGTCAAATGTGGCTTTCATTTGTACATTTTTACCAAAGATTAATTTATGTGACTGTTTGTTTTTATACACCCCCCCCAACAGGAGAGATTTACAAATAGTGTTTGAGCATCATGGAGCCTTTAGGTTCTACATTAACGGCAACTTATGCCCACCCTAGACCAACACCAACCAACTTTCTACCAGCCATCAGTACTATGGCATCAAGCTATAGGGACCGCTTCCCCCACTACAATTTAACCCATACCTTGAGCCTTCCTTGGAGACCAAGCACATACTACAAAGTAGCCTCCAACTTGCCGACCTTGGGTCCGTACTGCACCAGATCTCAGAAGGTGTGCGAGAGTGCCATGCTTCCCTTTGTTTCCAATAGAACCACTCTCTTCACAAGGTATACTCCTGATGATTGGTACAGGTCCAACTTGACCAACTATCTAGAATCCAACACTTCCCGACATAATTCAGAGAGACTAAGGGTAGATACATCTCGCCTGATTCAAGACAAATATCAGCAAACAAGAAAAACTCAAGCAGACTCCACCCAAAATTTGGGAGAACGAGTCAATGACATAGGATTTTGGAAATCTGAAATCACTCATGAGTTGGATGCAATGATTGGAGAGACAAATGAACTCACTGATGTTAAGAAAAAATTGGAGAGGGCTTTGATGGAGACAGAAGCCCCTCTTCAGGTAAATATAAGACCTTATGATAAAAGACACTGGATATTTATATGATTATAATCCACTGGCTGAATTACTGTGGTTATTATCTGTCGAATTATGTTTCACTTCACCTATAGAAGCCAACCTCCTATCAGTATATCTGTAACTACTTCCAGGAGTTGGTAAAACCATGACGAGCTTTATACATCCTACAGAACAACCATTTAAGTAGAATGAATTCTGAGTGCAAAGCAAAAAAGGTTGAACAGAGAGACACCCTTATAGTGAGAATGGCATCATTCCATTTATTTAAAAGGCTGCTTGGGCATTGCTGTTCCTGGATTATTGTATATAGTATTTGAGGGGAAAAAAGTGTTAGTTGTTTAATCTTTTAATCTGTGTCATGAAATGCCTCCTGTGTATATGTTATGATATCTTTTTAGAGCACAGTGAAATGATCAAGGAGACTACCTTAGGAGGAGGGGTGAGTTTGATTGAATAGAGTAATGGGCCTGAGGTTAAGCCAGATGTTGCAGTCATGGAGGTAGCATGTTAGTTTGTTGCTGGCCTCTGGCCACCTCTCACCCCACTGAGTGTGTGATGCCTGGGGGGAGCTCCAACACCACTCTACCCACCACCATTGAAAGAAGACATTCTGTAGTTGAAGATACACAAATTACAGAAATTATTTCAGAAGGTATATATATATTGATGAGGCAAACGCCATTTTTCTTCATGTTTGTATGATATTTTCCATGTGATAAGCATTTGCAGTAGGTCCTCATTATGACATCTGTAGCAGAAGAGTTTAGAGAATTAAGCAGCTAGAAGTCTAGCGGGTTGAAGAGTTTGTTGGAGACCCTGCACATTGTTACTTCTTATTGTGCACACCCACCCCTTCCCCCCACAAAACACAAGCACACACACAACCACCAGAAATTCCAAGAAAGGACTTCTCAAATGATGTCCTTTTAAATTAACTCATCATGAGATGTTTTTCAGGATCAGAAACCCTTCCATACTTTCTTCATGCTCTGGCTTATTTTGAGGAATCCTGGGCTGATCTGCACCCACCTTACCCAGCCCACTTTAGCGTATCCTAAAATGATACCCACTTACCCTCTGAATTTTGGGGGAACATCCTGTTTCTTCCTTTCATTATTCCTTTCAGTGAGACGGGTCTAATTTGTATTTTTTTCTGCAATTTTTGTCCAAATATTCTTCTGTGTTCAAATATTTACTATCAACACAGTGTAGGAAGGTCCTGATTAAAATTAGAATTAGTCACATAAACAGATATATCTCAAGAGGGAAAATCCAGGTGATCAACTAATATAAGAAAAAAAGTGTTAAAATTCCCTAATAAAAATGAGAAATCAATGAAATATCCATCTTTGGCCTATCATATTTGCAACGGTGGAAACTGATGACATCTAGAGTGGCCAAAGTGAAGAAGATGGATGCCTTTCTATGTTGCTGGTAAGATGAGTAGAATCTTACTAGACCTTGGGTTAGTAGGAATTTGCAAAAAGCAGTTTAGGAATATACATGAAAATAATCAGAGTTCCTGTCAACCTATTAATTCATTTTCTTGTAAATGTGAATTTTTACTATTAAAAAATATACATTCATTCAAAAAATATACATTTGTTCAATAATATGATGTCCAGATTACAGTGTATGTACTATTACATTTTAGGCTGAAAACATTAACATTATCTGGTCACTCCAAGTCATGAAATAGTCTTTGAAAAAAGTATTTTAACTTTTGCATCATGTTCTTTCATAATCGATTGTTAGCCATCCAAGCTGTTTTCCACTTGAGTCATTAGCATATTTTGTCTCAGGGAATATTTTACGACTGGAGCCTACTATTTAATGTCAATCCTAAAAAACATAATATAAAATTGTAAAGGACATTATAACCTCTGTTTTGTTATAAACGACAAACAAAACAGTGATAGGACTATGGTTAAATCATTTTCTACTTTTCTATGTTTTTTTTCTTTTTAATGGATAAAGCACATTATTTTTGTAATTAGGAAAATAATAAATGGTACTTAAAAGTAATCACTCGGATTTTTGGCTACACTAATATTTTGGCTTCTTTAAGGATAATAATTTGTTTCTTCCTCACTCTTCTCAGTAGAAAATGTTTGAAAATAATATCCTGGAGACTGTGTTTCAGGATATTATTTCTGTAGCAGAAATTAATGCTAAGTAATTTTCTCAGAAGTTAATTTGTAGGAATTAAGTCGTTGCCAAATGCCTGATTTTGTCATCTTTCCAAATTAGATTTTTTCCCAAACCACTTTGAAGGGTGAACTCTACCTCTTAACTAGCAATTAGGATTTACTTAGTTGTTATGGTGGATCTCATGCTGGATTTTGGACAAAATGGCTTGAAAAGTTGGTAAGTTGGTATTGGGACTATCTATTGACTTGTTTTAGGAACAGATCCTTAGAACTGCTCATCACTGATTTTAGTTACTTTGTATTAGTGCTTTCCATTATTTGTGTATCTGTAGGTAGCCCGAGAATGTCTATTTCATCGAGAGAAGAGAATGGGGATCGATCTAGTTCACGATGAAGTAGAAACTGAATTGTTGACGGTAAGTACGCTCAGCAACAAGACATGTAGTTTGCAAACATGTGCTTAATGTATAGAAACAAACGAAATTTGTGTTAGATGAAGCCATTTATAAGTAAGAAGTTTCAGTATAGTATCAATATGTTTATATTCATACAATATAGTATCAAATGTTTATAGCATTTAGAAAAGATTTTTTTTTGGGTTATAAAAGTAATAGATGTTCATTGAGAGAATTCAAAAGATACAGACTAGGATGAAGAAAGATAAAAATCACCTGAATTTCGGTTGGACAGAAATCACTGTTAACTTTGGAGAATTTCAGTTTATTCAGAGAATTTCAGAGAATTTCTTTTTATTAATCATACTTAGACACCACCCAACTTAAAGACACACAAATATGTCTTCAAGATTAGAATTATACTGTATACATAATTTGAGTGGTGCTTTTTTTGATGGGTAAATGCTCAATGAGGTTTATTCTTAAATACAGTTGTAGGGAAGACAGCCCCATCCCTTTTTAAAGAATTAATTTTTTTAGAGCAGTTTTAGAATCACAACAAAATTGAGGGTAAGGCATAGAGATTTCCCATATAGCCCCTACTATAGGGGAACATATAGCCTCCCCCATGACCAACACCCCCCATCATTGATGAATCTACGTTGGTACGTCATTGTCATCAAATCTGGAATGGGGATTAGGTATTGGTATTAAAAATATTCCCCAGATAATTTTAGTGAACAACTGGAGTTCAGAACCACTATAAAATATTGTTGGTAGGTATTAATGAAGACATAAATGAAAGGACAAATCATGTGTGTATATTTGAAGGCTTACATAGTGTTATGGTAGCAGTACTTCTCAACATGGACCATATATTCAACAGAATCCTTGTCAAACTCCCAGCTGACTTCTTTGTAAAAATTGACAAGCTGATCCTGAAATTGGTGTGGAAATACAAGGGGTTCAGAATAGCCAAAATAATACTGAAAAAGAAGAAATTCAGAGGACCCACACTTCTTGATTTAAAAACTTACTACAAAGCTACAATACATGAGACAGTAGTACTGGCAATAAAGATAGGCATATAGATCAATGGAATAGAATTTGAGAATCCAGAAATAAACCCTCCCTTTTACAATCAATTCGTCTTCAACAAGGGTGCCGAGATGAGTCAATGGGAAAGAAATGCTTTCATGAACAAACGGTGATGGGACAGTTGCATGTCTGTGTGCAAGAGATTGAAGTTGGACTCCGACATCCCACCATATCTAAAAAATTGAATAAAAGTGGATCAAGGATTTAAATGTAAGAGCTACAATTGTAAGACTCTTAGAAGAAAACATAGGCATAAATACTGGTGACATTGGAGTCGGCAATCATTTCTTAAATCTGACACCAAAACACACAACGTAAGAAAAAAGAGATCAATTGATCATCATCAAAAGGACAAACTTTGATGCTTTAAAGAATGTCATCAACAAAGTGAAAAGACAGTCCATAGAATAGAAGAAAAATCTCAAATTATATATCTGATAAGGTTATCTATAATATATAAATAACTCTAAAAATTAAAGATAAAAAACCCCAAATAACCCAACAAAAACTAGGCAAAGGATCTGAACAGAGAGTTCTCCAAAGTGAATATGCACATGGCTGATAAACACATTAAAAACTGCTCATCATTAGTTCATCAGGGAGATGCAAATAAAACCACAATGGAATACTACCTCACACCCCCCCCCCCACCCAGGATGTCTATACTCAGAAACACAAATAATAACAGGTGTTGGTGAGGATGTGCTGGTGTAGAGGTAAAATGATACACCTGTTTTGGAAAATCGTTAAAGATAGAGTGGCGATATGATTCAGTAGTTCTACTCCTATGTATCTGCCCAAGAGAAAAAAAAAAAAGGACATGCCTGCACAAAAACTTATACATGAATGTCCATAGCATTATCCATAACAGCCATTTAGAAACAACGCAAATGTCTGTCAGCTGCTGAGTGATACATAAAATGTGGTATAGCCATACAATAGAATGTTATTTAACCATAAAAAGATGCTAAAACATTCTACTACATGGATGATCCTTGAAAATTTATGCTAAGTGAAGAAGTCAGCCACAAAGGACTGCACATTGCAGGATTCCATGTCTATGAAATGTCTGTATTGGGGAAGTCTATAGAGACTGAGAATAGATTCGTGGTAGCCTAGGAGAAACAGGCTCCGGAGATTGGAAACTGGTTAACAGTGTAGGGGTATGTTGTTTCTTTGGGGTGTAATGAGGATGTTCTACCATTGGTTCTGGTGATGGTTTTATATACTAAAAAACCATTGAATTGTACAGTCAAATACATGAGCTCTATCATATATGAATTATATCTTAATAAATCTATTTTTTTTTATTTTTTTATTTATTTATTTTTTTTTTTTAAAGATTTTATTTATTTATTTGTCAGAGACAGAGGGAGAGAGAGCGAGCGAGCACAGGCAGACAGAGAGGCAGGCAGAGGCAGAGGGAGAAGCAGGCTCCCTGCCGAGCAAGGAGCCCGATGTGGGACTCGATCCCAGGACGCCGGGATCATGACCTGAGCCGAAGGCAGCCGCTTAACCAACTGAGCCACCCAGGCGTCCCAGTAAATCTATTTTTTAAACAACCACCACCACCACTGCTTTAGAGGTTTAATATTTTTCTAGACCAGTAGCAGAGGTTACTTTATCTCAAAATAACTAAATCTACAGTTAAAGTAATAGTTTGTCAATTGGAAGGTACCTTGATCATTGCCAATTAATTCAAGTAATAAGTGTATCATTAGCTTACTCAAAGTAGTGATATTAGCATATCTTTTTATTTAAACAATACTTGTCTAATTTTTTGGAATAACTAAATAAACATTGGCAAAGAAAGGAAGTAGCCTTAAAAGGCCTATTGTTGAAGAAGGTGGCCGCATTGAAATATTTTCTCACGAATTCTGTTGGCTTTCACATTCAATCAGTGATATTCCACCAAATTCTCACAGAATGGCTTCTCTTGGGGAATTGATCAGGGTACCCTCTCTTTCGGTCCTCCTAGACCAGGCTAACTCCTTGAACTTTTTAAAGCCAAATGAATCTTGCATACAGATTAATAGATAAATTATTGCTAGAGAAAATTCCAAAGGTCTTTGGTTGTAGGCATTCCCTATTTCCATGAACCCTTCCGCCCCCAACCATCTGACATTTATTCCATGGCATCATTTAAATTCAAATAGAGTAATCATTGGTCAATATTTTTAATCAGTATTTTTTATAGCAAGAGTTTCATTAAATGCATTTTTCCCCCTTAAAGTCCCAGAAATTCCCACTACATGCATCGTGTATATGTAGTATAAAAGCTCACTAGGATTTTGGGTGTTAAGTAGTTTCCAAGCAGCATTCCACTCATCCTTTGGCAACACCTTAGTGAACTAGGTACACACACACCCCCCAAGCCGTAAAGAAAGATGAAGACTGAACAACACTAAAACAAAGACTGATTGCACAGCTCACTATGAAAATGTGCAAAAAACCTTTGCTACCTGTAAGGACAGGTGGAGCCTTGATGACAACACGAGGTGGGAATGTGGTTTTTCACTTCATTAATTCAGAAGATCAAAGAATGAGTCAGTAGAGTTATCACTGAAATGAATTCCATTTAATATTTTTATGTGAAGCAATAAAAGAATAAGAAGACTATATAGTTGAGCAGTAATTGATATTGGAGTGGAGAAGACCTTTATAATCAAATTAGCAAAAGTGGAGACCAAAAGGGGATACTTAGTAAAGTTGACAGCATAGAGATTTTGGCTGTCTAAATATCAAACTCATGATGCAAAAATATAAAGGCAAGGTAGAAACTGGTTGAAAATGTACATATATTTTTATATTGTATATATTTATATCTACATTGATGACATCCATGATGGAAAAGATTGAATTTTAAATATAAGAATCCTTATAAAGTAGTAAGAAAAAAACAACAGAAAAAGCGAAGCAGGTAATTCACAAAAGAAGAAAGTCAAATGAGGAGCCAATACACAGTTAAAATATTAACCTGCAAATTTCAGGAGGTTTGTTGTTTGGGGAGGGGTTCTATCACACTGGCAAAAATGGAGAGGATTTGGTAGTGATCACTTAGTAGGTGAGGAGAGGAAGTGTACTCTTATTTATTGTTGTAAATGGGTACAACTTCTCTGAAGGACATTTGGCCGTATTTGTCAAAACCTTGAAAAAAAACCATGCCTTTGGGTGGCATCTAAACATTTACTGAGGTGGTTCATCATGGTGTGTTTTAATGTCATGGGAAAATGTTCAGGTTTAAAATGAAAAGGCGGGGGCCCCTGGACACCTCAGTTGGTTAAACATCCCACTCTTGATCTCAGCTCCGGTCATGATCTCAGGGTCGGGAGATGGAGCCCGGATGGCCTTGCACTCAGCAGGGAGTCTGCTTGAGGTTCTCTTTCTCCCTTTCCTTTGGCCCCTTCCCCTGCACTCTCTAAATAAATAAATAAATAAATAAATAAATAAATAAAATCTTAAAATAAATAAAAATAAACAAGATGAAAAGGCAGGCCACAGAACAGTATGCATAGTGTGATCGCTCTGTGTTTGAAAAGTGAAAACAGTGACCATGTGCACTTTCTAAACATCAGAGGGAAGTGAAGAGTGTTTACTTAAAACATCTCTGACACAACACATGCTATGTAATAGTATATATCCTGGAGGCATCAGAATGCCCCGTGTGTGGTCGAGTAGAGGAGTACACAGCGGGGTTTGTGAGGGTAGGAGCTGAGCTGTCAGGCACAGGCGACAGAGGGAGGGCTGGCCTCCCAGTGCGGAAGTCAAGTTTCCATTTGGACCAGTCCCTTTTTGGCAGCCCTCTTTCCTCCCCAGGGAAACTTTGTCTTGGAAGAATCGTTATTATAAAAGAAGCTTGCATCAAGTTCAGCCTTGCACATCACCAGAATTTATTTATTACCTTATTGTTATACTGTTTTTGTTAAGGGTCAGAGATCAAAACAAATCCTACAGTTTTACTCCTGCCCCAACTTGTTCCATAATATAATTTTCCTATAGCCCTAGAAAGGGGTGAACCTCAGTCTAATGTTTAGATTGCAGGACCATGAGGCATAGAGGTAAGTAAGTGGGTGTAAAAATTGTTTTATTGTCTTACTTGACTTTTTTTCCAGAAACAGTTTTCCTTTGCTGATGTTTTGTTACATTGTTGGCTTTGGATGTTATACCCAATGATGAAAACATTAATGTGTGTGTGTGTGTTGTTTTTTTTTTTTCAATCGAGTAGGAGGTTGATATTATTCTGTGTTGTCAAGAAAGGATGAAGCTGCATTTGGATAAGGCCATTGCTCAACTTGCGTAAGACCTTTCAATGTTTATACAACTTAAAATCTGTCTCAAAATTGTGTTTTTGTGCCTCCCACTCAAATTTCTCTTAGCTTCCTAGGTAAGGATTTCTTATATATAGATACATATACACACTCACACACACACACGTGCACATACACATTTTTATTTGGAGGTTAAGATGAGTACTTGGAGTGCTTGCTTTAACTTTTTAGCTAGAGAAGTAGTTTTGAGGGGTGCCTGGGTGGCTCAGTCGGTTAAGCATCAGACTCTTGGTTTCAGCTCAGGTCGCAATCTCAGTGTCGTAAGATCGAGCCCCAACGGAGGCTTCGTGCTCAGCATGGAGTCTGCTTGTGATTCCCTTGCCCTCTGCCTCGCCCCTGAATTGCGTGTGCACACATGTGTGCACACACTCTTTCTCAAATCAATCAGTAAATAAAATTTTAAAAAATAATTTTGAGCTGCTACAGAATTTCTGCCCTAACTTGCAGTACAGCTAAGATTAATTTCTTTTCTTTCTTTTTTTTTTTAAAGATTTTAATTTGAGAACAAGAGTGAGAGGGAGAGAGAGAGTGAGCATGCATGGGGGGAAGGAGTAGAGGGAGCGGGGGAGAGACATACTCTCTGCTGAGCAAGGAGCCCAACACAGGACTCCATCCCAAGACCCTGGGATCATGACCCAAGCCGAAGGCAGATGCTTAACCAAATGAACCACCCAGGTGCCCTGGCTAAGATTTCTTTTAAACTCAAAAGACTTTCATTCTTTGAGGAGAGATTGACTTGTGTATATTCAGCCCAATAGCTGGAAAAGTAATGAGTTGTGGCTCACTTTTATGATTATTTCCATAACTCCTTAAAGACTCAGCCTTCTCTGATTTCCTAGGGACCCTGGTACCAGCTCCCTGGTGCTTTAGTTACACCAGTGCAGTACTGTAACTCTTCACCCATCCTACTCTCTCCCAGAATACAGATCCTTCTTTCCTTGGCAATAGTAGATAGTAGGTACTTAATATTTATGGTGGGGATTGGGGTGGGGAAGAATAATAATCAAAGGAAGGTCTTAGGCAATGATAACAGCTGTCAGCATCAAAAACACATTGGTCGACCCTCTTTCCCAACATGACTGGAAAGGTGAATGTTCATCTGGTTATGGCCATGGGAAGCAGCATGAAAATGTCACTGGAAGGAAAGGATGCTTGTGCTCATACTGACGCTGTCAAGGATAAGTTGTGAGAGAGACCCTGAAAGGAATAAATGTTACAGAGGTATCAGTTCTGCTTGCTTTGCCCACTGTGCCCATTGGATTGATGCTCTGCAAGTTGGTGAGGTTTAGCTGGCTGGGACCTCTCCCTTACTGTGATTAGAAGGGCTCTTTACTCTAGAAATGTTGAGGATAGGTAGAAGATTAGTTAAGGAAGACCAACTACACATGGTTTGGTTAACTACGATTTACCTGAACTATAAATACAAGGCAGTGTTGTTCTGGTATTACTTTTTGGCTTCTGCTCCCTAGAAATCACAGAACCACAGTTTAGCGTGGTTCACAGAATGGTGTCTGTTCTATTTTCTTTGGGTCCAGTTCCCAATCTTACTTTCTTGTGTAACTTAAAATCTGCAGCTCATCCTCCACGTTCTTCACTCTTCTTGCCCAGATTGTTCCACTGTGGAATAGCCACATCCTCATATCAGTCTCTGCTACAAACTGCCTCATTTTCTGCCCTATTTAGGTCTTTGCAGAAAGTTCTCACTCCACGTATGCACTTGTGTGGAACCTTTGTTGGTGAGCCTTTAAAGACCTGGGTTTTCATTTAATACACAGTGGATAAAATGCCTACCTCATTTCCTGGGGTGGTTTCTCCAGAATTTATGGGATCCTTAACATGGTCATTGAGCTTGGTCCAATGAAGGTGATGGGAGGAGGTTGTTCAATGCTATTTGCTTTGGAACACACAACGAAGGCCTCAGTTTGGACCTCAGCTGAAAATAGAATGTCATTAGGCACCAACATGGTAGCCAAGATTTTTCCCATTTTGGGCTTTAAGACAGGCAGGTGGGGTACTGCCTCAAGCACCTTCTTTAAGGAAGTTCTGAGGTTAGGTCAGAGGACGTCTTGTGTCAGCCCAAGAGAGGAAGGGTAGGGGGCATCTTGGTCCTAGACCAGAAGTGAGAAAGGCCTTTAATCCCAGAGTTTCAACACAATAACCTGAGATGGGAGACTGAACACAGAATGGCAAGGGGAGGCAGCTTTCTCATCTTTCATCTCTTGCATGTGTTTTAGAATTCACAAAAATTGTTTTTCAGGATTCACAAAACACAGGCTACTGGCATGCTGCTACCCTCATTTCTATTTCACACAAAAAGATGAGCTCTGATAGGTCAAGTACTTACCTAAATGTATGAGCTAAGCTAAGGGGAAGCTGCAGCTAGAATTAATCTATTCAATTCAACACAGGCTTTACCAAGTGGCTCCTGTATGCCAAGACCATTTTGGGTGCCAGGAACACTGAAATGATGATCATCTGGTTGTTCTGATTTTTCAAATACTATCTATATGCTAATGATCCCCCAGTTTTTATTTCCATCCCAGACCTGTCTCCCAAATTCCAGCAACCTCCTTGGTATCTGCACTTGGATGTTTAATGAATGCTCAAGCTCAGTGTGTTGGCTGCACTTCTGTCTTCTCCCCGGCCTACTTGCTCACCTCTGTTGATGGAATTCTGTTATTTCAATTACTCAGCTTCACCTCTCCTCCACCCATTCATGTTTAATCTCCTAGAGATGCCTCTTGGATCTCTTAAAACTTACTGGATCTGAACACTTGCTACCTCCTTCATTGTTACCCTCTCCGTCCAAGCCACTATTATCTCTCACCTGGGTAACTGTACCCATCTGCTAATGGGTCTCCCTGTCCCCTGCAATCTGTTCTAAACCCAGCACCAAATGATCTTTTAAAACTGTAAATCAGTGGTCTCTCACTTCACTCGGAGGAAAACTTGACTCCTTCCAATGTCCTCCAATGAGGCCCAGCATGATCTGCTACTTCCTCCTGCAAGTCTTGGCTCAAACATTTCCTCCTTAAGGAGTCCTATTCTGACCATCTCATTTAAATCATCACTCACAGTCTTGCTTCCTTTTCTGCTTTGTTTTTGCATTGTTCTGCTAACCACACAATTTGCTTATTTGTTAGGGGTATTGCCTGTCTCCTCCCTCTAGAATGTAAACTTCTTTAGAGAAGAGATTCTTGCTTTGTCCATTGATGCATTGGGGTTGAACAGTGCCCGACAGGTAGTAGATACTCAGTAATTATTTGTTGAATCAACCACCACATGAGGAAAGATATGGGTCACCTGTCACCCATGCCCACCCCATGGGCCTATCTTTTTGGTAGTGAGGTGCCAGGTCTCCTCTCTGTTTGGCAGGGGAGGGAACACCATGCATCTCAGAGCCCCTTCCTTCCCAGGAGAGTGGTTACTGGAGGAGATGAGCCCGGGGGCCCCAATTCCTCATGTCCTTTCAGGCACTCTGTCTCTGGCCCCAGAGCTCAATATTGACACTTGGTTTCTATCTCCCAGAAAACTTCTTAGGCCTCACCTGACCACAAACTGAGGTCAGCTATGGAAGGAAGGAGTCTGGATATAAATGTCTCAGAACTTCTTGGGGGAACTGCACTCAAAGAATGGAGGAATTAGGGTACAGAAGTAGAAAAAGAAAAAGGAAAGAGAGGCACCGATGTGGATAGATCACTTTAAACCAGGGTCCAGCATGGAACAGTACTTGTGTTAGGAAGACAGATCTCAGCCTTGGGGCTCCAGATACCTGTCCTCTGTTTATCTACACCTCTTCTCCCCCAAATCCCACTACACACGATGGGAGGCGCAGTGTGGACAGGGTTCTAATTAATCACATATATGGACATCTCCAGGGAAGGCTCCTTTTAATTAGGAAGCTGGACATTGTGTGAAAAGAGGAGAGACCCAGACAGCAGTAGTAGGTTGGTCCCAGCACAGAAGGGCCAATTACTCTTCCTCATATCAAATTATTTCCTAAACCTGAAGTTCCATTTCCCCATTCTCTGTTACAGAGCTAACAGAGCTTCCCAGCACGAGCTGGAGAAGGACCTGAGTGATAAGCAGGCAGCTTTCAGAATCGATGATAAATGCCACCATCTGCGAAACACATCGGATGGTGTCAGCTACTTTCGCGGTGTGGAGAGGGTTGATGCGACGTAAGTTGGGCTCCAACTACCTCTATGATTTCGATGTCATTTAATTCATTCTCTCTCCCTTCAAAATGACACAGCTTACATGTTAAAATGGAAAATATGGGAAGATGTGGGGAAGATGAAAGACATACCCTACTTTGGATCAGTCTTCAGTAAGCATGTGTATTCCTCAGCCAGGCCTTGGCACTTGCCTTATCTATTGTTTTGTAGAAGAATATTTGCTGTTTACACTTATTGTGGGGAGCACTGAGTAATGTATAGAATTGTGGGATCATTGTGTACAAAGTAATAGGACGTTGTAAGTCAAACTTACCCCCAAAATAAATATTTTAAAAAGCTCAAAAAAAAAAAAGGTGAAAATTTGTTGTTTGTATTTCTAACTATGAAGATAACAGCTACTTGAAACAGAAAAGCCTAGAAAACACAAATAAATGTAAAGAAAAGAACGCGTTGCCAATGGGCTGGATGCCCTGGATTCCATGGGGTAAAAGTTGAAAAACAACTTCATGTTTTATTACCACTGCTTGTTAAACCAGTGGTTTCTTTGCTAGGCTCCTGGATGCAGTCTTGAGTTAATGGTCTTTTTCCAGCCATTCCCTTAAAAAAGTCAACTTGCTTGATGGAGGTGAAATTCACATACACACTAAAATGCATTTGGTCCAAACATACATTTTGGTGAGTTTTGACAAATTTCTGTGCCCACATAACCATGACCAGGTCAAGATAAAGAATACTTTTGTCACCTCAAAGAGTTCCCTTGTTCTCCTTCCCAAGCTGACACCCCCTCCCCCTTTTCAAGTGACCCCCACATGGATTCCCCGTTGTGGGGCTGGTCACCCCCAAAGCAGCCCCATCTCTTAGTGCTCCTGTACTAGGAGCAGCATGTGTCAACTTTGATTTTTAGATTCTTCAAGTGTGAATCAGATTCAAACCCTATGTCCTAAGCGGTCTGCTTGAAATGCCCCTTTCTTGGGTTGAGGTGAGCAGGAATCATCTTCTTCTCCTTCTGGGGAAGGAGATGTGCTGAAATCAAACCAGACACTCTGAGCACCTTGCCCTCCATCAAGGGCCTTCTCTATTTCCAGCATGAATTTTTAGCCATTCTTCATGGAATGTCAAGGTATGGAGCATGTAGTGTGTTATTTTGGATCATTGTAACCTGAACTAACACCTTTAGTCAACAGTAAGATTCTTCTTCGATATTCCATCATGTCAACAAAGAAATGCCACCTGTAAACCCATGCCCAATGTTAACTATTAGTCCTTCCAATATGGTTCTACACACATAGAGATTTTTATTTTTATTTATTTTTATTTTTTAAAGATTTTATTTATTTATTTGACAGAGATCATAAGTAGGCAGAGAGGCAGGCAGAGAGGGAGGAGGAAGCAAGTTCTTTGCTGAGCAGAGAGCCTGACGTGGGGCTTGATCCCAGGACCCTGGGATCATGCCCTGAGCTGAAGGAAGAGGCCTTAACCCACTGAGCCACCCAGGTGCCTGAGATTTGTATTTTTAAAGAGTGGCATTACAGACATACTGTTTGTATAGTCTGTGTGGCTTTTCGTTTCCTGTATATTCCTATATCAAAAACACTGTGAAAATACTCTACAACACAAGTTTGCATGCTATATGAATTACCTTCACTTCTCAGTCTTTTGGCTAAGATCAAGTGACATGTACCATAATCTACTCAACTTTTTCTTTACTATTGGACACTTAGACTGTTTTAAGTTTTTTAATGATAGTCCTAAATATTGCTGAAAATTAATATCCTCATGTATACATTTTTGGCAGCATTAATTCCTTATGATAAATTTCTATATTACTTGCTTTGGCAGCTCCATATACTAACATCAAAATGATGCAGAGAAGATGAGCATGGGTCTTGGGCAAGGATGTCACACAAATTCACAAAGCACTCCTTATTTTTAGTCCTAGAGATGTAGAGTAGAACTTCGTGACAATAGTTAACGATACCATGTTGTAAATTCAAAAGTTATTAAGAGAGTAGAACGTAACAGTTTTCATCTGAAGAAAAAATAACTAACTCTGTATGGTGATGGATATTAATGAAATTTATTGTGATAATCAATTCGCAATGTAGACACGTATCAAATTATTACATTGTGCACCTACCTGAAATTAATGCAATGTTATATGTCAATTACATTTCAGTAAACAATTTCCGTAAATGGAATTTCTGGGTTATACACATGTATTAGCGTCTTGGTGTATGTTGTCCTCCAGCATGGTTCTACCAGTCCCACATTCCTGCCTGCAGGAGAGAAACCTTTTAAAAATATGCTCACCAGAAAATGATCATTCTCGACAGTCTTTGCTATTCCGATGAAGGGTCCTTAGTATGTTGCTGTTTTTGTCAGTACTCCTTTGATTACTCCTGAGTTTGGATATTTTCTCATATGCTTCTCAGGCCAGTGAGACACATTTCTTATGAGCCACAATACCCATATCCTTCACCCATTGTCCCCCACCCTTGCTTCCCTCCCTACCAATTGAGCAGGGGACTTAGTGTGTGCCCTGGATTTACAGAAACTAAGCAGAAATATAAGGAACAATTAAGAAAAGTTTTAAATAAGCTTTCCTCTGATGTTTACATTTTATTCAATAAACTAGGATTCAGTGATAGGGGGTTTCCCCTTTCACAAAATGAATGATCACCTGGAGACTGTCTAGGCTGATTCATCATTGTCACCATTGTATGGTTCTACTTTTTCTTCTCAGGGTCTCAGTGCCCGAGTCCTGGGCCAGATTTACAGATGACAATATTCTCCGTTCCCAAAGTGAACGAGCAGCCTCTGCCAAGCTAAGAGACGACATTCAAAACCTCTTGGTTGTGACTGCCAATGAGATGTGGAATCAATTCAACAAAGTGAACTTGTCTTTCACCAATCGCATTGCTGAGACCGCAGATGCTAAAAATAAGATTCAGATTCACTTAGCGAAGGTAAACCAAGTGCCGGTGGTACCCCTTAGCTGACCCAGAGAGATAGAGCAGGGGGCTCTGGGACCACAAATCTCTCACCACTCCCAGAGAGACGCCATAAGATGTATGGCCTCCTGACCATACAGACTAAGAAAAATTAAAAAAAGTACAAAGCACACCATTTATTTTAGCCAGGTAGCCAGGTGTCAAAATGAAATTGGAATCCACTGGTTTTTGGAATACAAAGAATGCACTATGCACTGAAAGGTTCCTAGAATTTAATAGAAACAAAAATATTATGATTAAAGTTTAATGAACCACTGTATGTAGCTAGGAAGTGAATTTATTATTAGAACATATGGTAGGAATGTTTTCTGTTAAATTATGTCAGGCCCTTTCTCTGGAATACAAAACCAAATACAGGAAACTATTAGGTGGTTCAAAGGGTTTCTGATATTGAACTTTTTAAAGTCCTCTATGCATAAACATTTTACAATGACAATAAAATGAAGGATTTAAGCAGGATTTGAGTGTTTCAAGATAAACAAGGAGCTCTTTCTTTATTGAGCACTGGTCTTAGAGCTTTTATTATTTCTGTGGATTTATGTACCTATAGGTTTTCACTTCTTATTTTAAGAACCTGACACAGTCGGCCATGTGTGCTGGAAGGCACCATTATTATCCAATTGAGGGAAACCTTATTTTCTCAGACTGCAGCAATTTAAGTTCCCTTCTCATGGTGTCTTCTTTGGGCAGCAAATATTTATTGGGCCAGACAGTGTGCCACCCTCTGTGAAGGGCAGAGAGAAGTATAATATGAAGTTTGGGTCCCAGGAAGCTTATATTCGTGATCTGCATATATAGGAAAAGCTCATGAACAATTAATAACAATAGAAAATTACAAATTGCGATTGCCAGATAACAGATGCAGAAAGTGTTGTTGGGGTTTGGAGAAAGAGGGGAACATTCAGGTGGGGTGATATCTCGAACAAAGCCTTGGGAGGTAGCCAGTCAGAGGCTGAGTTGGGATCTGTTGTGTGGCTTGGCAGAGAAGCTTGTGAGGGGAGCCTGGAGCCACACTGTACAGGACATTGGTGGGAAGGTAATCATTGGGCAGTATGAGGCAATTTTGAAGGCCTCTAGAAGGATAACCTGATGGAGTCCCTTTGTTCAACAAATTTTTATTTAATTCTGCATCAGTTCCCTGGGGCTATCCCAACAAAGCACTGCAGACTGGGTGGCATAAACAATAAAATTCATAAAAAACAGAATTCTGGAGGCTAGAATTCCCAAGATCAAGGTGTCAGCAGGGTTGGTCTCTTCTGAGGTCTATCTCCTTGACTTGAGATGGCCATCTTCTCCTGTTGTCTTCACTTGTTCTTCCCTCCATGCATGTCTGTGTCCTAATCTCCCCTTCTTATAAGGACAACCGTCCTTTTGCACTAGGACCTACTCCAATGACCTCATTTTAGCATAATTACCTCTTTCAAAGGCTCCACCTCCAAATGCAATCACATCCTAAGATACTGGGGGTTAGGACTTCAACACAGGAACTTACTTGGGGGTGGGGAAGAAGATAGCATTCAGGCCAGAACTGCTACATTTGAAGTACGGTGCTGGGTGGCTCTGGGGTAAGCACACGGAACAACACACTGGCCTTGCCATCTTGCATCTTAGAGCCAGACGGGACATGAAAGTAGAAAAGACCAGAAAGGTGCAGAAAGAACTCCACAGATAAAACATTAAATGTAGCAGAAGGAAGCGTTATGTCCACTGATGAGAGACAGGGATGGCTTCACGGGACAGGAAACCCTGAGGGCAGCTTTGGTGAAAGGAACAGTGCAATGATCTTCAACAGGCTGTTGAACACTTGGGAGGGAGGTCAAAGTTTAAGCGACAGATTTCAGGGCTCCTGGATTGCACAAGTGCCGAATCTGTGAGGTTCCATGAGAGCTCTGCAGGGGAGAAAGGACAGAGCAAAGAAGTGGCTCAAGACAGAGCCTTGCACTGGGAAGTGATGAGGGGCAGCTATAGGGAGATGCAAGGAATTAGGACAGTGGTTGGCCAGAGAAGACAAACAGGGCAAGGGTTTCAAGGAGAGGGAGACATTGGGAGGGTTATTGGCAACTTAGTACAGTTTCACGAGGGCCACTGGGTCTTGGAGTACAGGGGTCACCTCAAGGTGAGCTGGTCAAAGTGGAGGGAGTGAGCAGGACCACTGTGCAATGTACATAGCTGGGCCTGTGAGCCGGGGGTAGGAGGGTACCAAGGTCGTAGAAGAAACAAGAGTTGTCCGAGCATAGGCAAGGAGACCAGGGAGGGATCCGGGTTTATGCAGTTTGGGGGACCCTCCTTTAAGAAAAAAGAACATAAAAGGAGGACTCCAAATCTGCCTGTGGTCTTTCCTTGAAAGTGAGACCCTCAGAAACTTGAGCTTGATTTGCTTCAAGGCAAGTCCTCCACTAGCAGGAAAACATCTCTGTGACACTTGTAAGAAGATGAAGAGGCAGGACATACCGACGTGAGGAGGGATGCAAGGGCCACTCGAATCTCAGGGCCTCCCCCTTTTTCAGAGTTACGCACACATGTGTGCTGGTAAATATTTAATAATCAGCGATCTGGGGGTTGTGGGTGGGAAGAAGACTCCAATTTGTTGAATTTGCTCATTTCTGTGGTGTGACTACTCTCTGCCTGGCAGATTTCACCTGGAGTTAGGAAGAGACACACACAGTCAGCTCTCCAGAGATTCCCGGGGACAGGGCTGGGAGGGAGCAAGGCCCTCAGAGAATCCACCTCCCCCCAGGAGAGGGCAAGGCAGGCCTCAGTCCTCAAATTGCAAGAGGCCTCAAGCATTTGCTTCTCTTCCTACAGACCCTGCAGGAGATCTTCCAGACTGAAATGACCATAGAATCCATCAAGAAGGCCATCAAGGACAAGTCTGCCTTCCTGAAGGTGGCTCAGACCAGATTGGACGAGCGCACAAGGAGACCCAACATAGAGCTCTGCCGGGACATGGCTCAGCTACGGTGAGACGGCAGTGGGCCCTGGGCAGGAGGGGCAAGCTTGGGGCACTCCTTGGGGCCACCCACCAGCCCCATGGTGGCTCCATGCTCTTTATGAAGGTCCTTCTTTCTGCTTTCACAACGGTCAATGGAAGAACCCAGTAACAGTCATTGTGTAGGATCTTTCTTCGAAGTGTTTATTAATAACGGGCATGGACTTTCGACTGGGGAGGACAGTTAAGTTCTGGAGATGGATGCTGGTGATAGGTGCACCACACTTCGAAGGTTCTTAATGTCACTGAACTGCACACTTAAAAACAGTTGAGGTGGTAAATTTTTTGTGTTATGTACATTTTACCACAATGAAAAAAAAAGGAAATGATATCAATACTAGATACAAAAAAAAGTGATAATGAACGTGAAGCTTCACTCAGGGGGGCCACTCACAATCTGTGCTTCCTTGGGGTCTGGAGTTTCCAGAATGTCTCTTAAAAGCAGCAGCGTGCATTGCTTGCTCTGTGGTTTTCAAGGCCTGGGACTCAGTCTCAGAAAAGGGACTCCTGGTACTAGTTCCACAGGCCCCTTTCTATTTGTTCTCACCCATTGGTTCCCATTGGCCTTTTTTGGCATTTAGTATTACTCTCCCCATTAAGACCACCCTCGTGGTTCTCTAGTCACTTCAGTTTGTCCTGTTCTCAGTATAAGTAGAAAAGAACTGGGCTTCATCAAGCACATCCCCCATATACAAGGCTGGCAAAACTCTCATGCCACCATTTATCTACCCAACACTAGGCGTCTTTTCTTATGATAATGATTTAAACTTTGAGCATTCCTTTTAGGATGGGCTTATCAGGAACCGGGCAAAGCTCTTTTCCCCCTCCTACGTTCTGGTTTCATTTCCAATTTCCCAATACCTACCAGCTTGCCTTTTCCTTGTGGAGTTCTCCCTGGCTTTTCTCAGGTCATGAAATGGTCTCTGCAGAATCAAATCAAATTTATAGCAACTGGAGGAACAAAGGGGCCGCAATCGAACTCCAAATTCTTTTCTGGTGCTGTGGGGAGATGCCACTAGTCTCATCTCCTGCCTGGTTCCTTGATGGGACTCTATAATCACAAGGCGTTGATCCTGGGGATTAAATGGCTTTGAGCCCTGCCAAGGAAGCAAGTGTGGATTTCTTGGAGGGTAAGGAAGAGGTTGTGAGGCCAACAATGATGAAGACAAGAAAGGCAGTGAAATGGCAAAAGAAGACTAGGTGATTATGTATGGCTCTCATTCTGGGCTGAGCCCTGTCCTCAGCCCCTTACACTACCTCATTCAGTATCTGCATTTCACAAATAAGGAAATGGAGGCAGAAGCGGGTTGCATGATGTGGTAAGTAAAGGCACCATTTGAGCCCTTGCCTGCCTCACTGCAGAGCCCTATTCAACCAATCAGCTTCTGTGTGGGAAGTTTCTGCTTCCCCATCTTTATACACATATGGTCCTTTTATCATCCCCCCCCCATCGGGCGGCCAATCTCATCCCACTTCCTCAATGCCCTAACGGAGCGAGTTAGCAAAGCAGGTACTGTATCCCCAATCTCTCTCTCATAGAGGATGAAACTGAGGGTCACAGAGGTGATCTTTACAGCAAACCCCCCCACCTGTACCCATGCATGTTCTCTGTGTTGCATGCTAAGAAGCATGTTTGAGCATATATGCCAATGGATTAGCTGCCTTTCTCCTGGTAGATCTGCTGTCTGGGCCATAGCCATATGCGTGTGCACCCAGGCTGGCCACACATTTCCCCAAGTGGGTTCCACAGCAGTCCTCTTCCTACCCAGTCCGTTCATTATTTAGGATTACCTCTCCTCCCCTCCAGAGGACACCGCAGATGGGGTGTCCACGTGCTTCTGAAGATTGTGGCAGTGAGTACCCGGCCATCTGGCCAGTTAGGATTAGATCACAAATTGTGGCTTTCTGCAAATCTTACGAGGGGTAGCTGAGCAAAGCTGCATTCTCTGAAAGTTTCCAAGGAATCACCAGAAGTAGGGACGGAAATCTATCAATTGTTCAGCCTGGCATCAGACAAGCCCAGGGCTGCTTTTTAAAAGGGTTTTGAAAGTGGTCTAATTTGACGTTGGAGTTATCAGACAACGAGGCATTGAAGGTTGCTGCACAGAAACTGAATGATTTTTACTTTTCTCCCCCCTTCAGAGCTACACAGAATTTACTTTCCCTTTGCTTCCCATAGAATCCATACTATGTCCATTTCCTCTGCTCCTTTATTGACTTTAGCACAAAAACCTCCTTTTGTTTCCGTAAGGATTTCTCATCCAAGTATCGTTGCCAAAAAGACCATAGACTCAGGGGAGCGAGGACAGAGAAAAATGGCAGTTTTCATTTTGAGACTTTTATTTTCATTTACAGTGTTCTGAACGGGTTCTTTCAAAAGTAACTCTAAACTTTTTTGGCTCTTGGTGGCAGGCCAGACCAGGTTCTGCTTTGCTTCAATAATCTTGGTGCATTTAGAAAAACAAAAAAATGACGGTAGCTTTATTTGTATTTGAATGCAAAATGTTTTTTCAGTTCTGTAATTTCCCCCCAAAATGAGCGGTTTCAGCAGAACTGCTCTCTGTGATCTGCCAAGAACAAGGAAGCCGAGGCAGAGGGGTGGCCTTAAAAGATGGGTGAGAGTGTGTTTCTAAAGGCACAAACGGAGGGAAGTCCAGGACCTCCCAGGCCTATTCACGCAGCAACGGGAGGCAAGGGAACTAGCTGCCTGAATTTTCTGGATCTTGAATTCCCTTTCCAAAAAAAAAAAAAAAAAACACCAAAAAAAATTAAATTAAATTAAAAATAATCATTGATCTTTCAACATCTGTATTTTCAGAAGTTCCCTCCCAGATAAATTTTCCACTAGGCTAGTGTTTGTCAGCTAGGAGTAAGGACTCATAGATCATTGTGCTCTGTTTCCTGTCTCTGGATTTGGGGCTCCTTCTGAAGCCTTCTGACCAATGCAGGGGAAAGTGAGAGGGGGGCGGGGTGCGATAATACACCCCCTCCCCCTACCCTTGGTCAACACTATCCCCCACACGGTTGCCACAACCTCCCCACTATTTTATACCCTGGGATCTTTCCAAGAGACTTTTCTTTTTCATCCACCTTGAAGGAAGCAACAACAGAATGGAGCTTTTAGATCGGTTCTCAGATTTTGTGTTTACCCATCAGAGACCAAAGGGAGCTTCGGGCACAGTAGGTTTTAGTTCCTTCCCCCACCCCATGGAAAGCCTTTGTATTTTCCTCGCAGTACAGGTTCTAAGATGAAGGGAGATGCGCTGTGTGTTGCTGCTTCTGTGAGTCTTTTGTGAGCACCTTGCCCCTTGGGGGCTGCGTGCCGGTGTCTTGAGCGAGGACCCCTCCAGCAGGTGTATCTCCTGAGGAGGGCACTCCCAGAGGTGGGGTCCGTAGAGCAGTCCACGGGCATTTCTAGACCATCGTAGTCTGATCTCTGCGTTGTCCAAGCCAGATACTTTGGCCCTGTTGCCCAGTTACGGTGTTGGTCACTAAAGGTCAAAGGGAGCTTAAGTCCCTCCGAACTGTGTTTCCTTTTTGTAAAATATTTACCTCATTCTCCCTGATTTTAAAAGTAGCATCTGTTCATGATAGGAAAAAACAAAGCAAAACAAAACAGGAAAAATAAAAAAATAAAACCCATCTTCGATTTGTTGTGCCATGGAGGGATAACGGAGGTTAGCATTTTGTTGTACTTGACACCAGGCATGTTAACAAAATTGTGATCACACTGCCTTTGGGATTTTCTAACCTCACTTTGCCTTCCTGTCTTCCTTCCCCACCTTCTCCTTCCCTCCCGCCTTTCCTTCCTTCCTTTCTCTCTCTCTTCCTTCCTCTCCTTCTCTATTTCTTTCTTTTTAAAAAATTATTTATTTATTTGAGAAAGAGAGAGTGAGAGAGCATGGGCGCATGAGCAGGGGAGGGGAGTGGTGGGGAGGACAGGGGAGGTGTAGTGGGACAAGCAGATCCCTGTTGAGCAGGAAGCCCTACTGGGGCTCACTCCCAGGACCCTGAGATCATGAGCTGAGATGAAGTCAGACACTCAGCTGGCTGAGGTACACAGGCGCCCCTATCTTGACGTTTTCAGTCAACATCATATTGTGAGTTTCTTCCCCCACCTCAAGTACAAATTCTCTTTTTTCCAAAGTGTTGCTTGCCTGGTTTCCATCATGTGGCTAGAGCATACATTATCATTGGGTATGAATGCTGTTTCCTCTTGTTTTCTCATACTATGACTCAACACAAGGTAACACTGTGAAGAAATTATTCCTTTATTCTTTGGTGTCAAACTTTTCACCGTATTTTCCCCTGCAAGTTGTCTTGTTCAGTTTCACAAGATCGAGATGCAGTCTGATGTTAAAATGAATTCAAGGAATATATAGATCTCTATGGAGTCCAAAATGAGAACCCCCTTCTCTACCCTCTAGTCTCCACTCCACTCAGCCTAAACTGCAGCTTGTGAATTGGTGCATCTCCTTAAAATTGTGTCTTTAGGGGGCGCCTGGGTGGCTCAGCGGTTAGATCCTCTGCCTTCAGCTCAGGTCATGATCTCGGGGTCCTGGGATCGAGTCCCGCATCGGGCTCTCTGCTCAGCGGGGAGCCTGCCTCCGCCTCCTCTCTCTCTCTGACTGCCTCTCTGCCTACTTGTGATCTGTCTGTCTGTCAAAAAAAAAAAAAATCTTTAAAAAAAAATTGTGTCTTTAGGAAGAAGAAAGCACGGAGGGTTTGGGGTAGAAAAATTTCTCTTTGGTGCCACTTTAATATTGCGTGAGAGCCCACTTTGTGCTGGGCACTACACGGGCCTTGTGGTGGGGTTGCCCGATTTTGCAACCCGGGGATGTCCAGTAAAATTTGAGTTTCAGGTAAACAGTGAATGGTTTTCAATACAGATATATCCCAAATATCCAGAGAGACGGAGAGTAGAATGGTTATTGCCGGGGGCAATGGGGTATTAGTTTTTCATGAGGACTGAGTTTCAGTTTTGCAGGATAAGTTTTGTGGATGGATGGTGGTGGTGATCGCACAACAGTGTGAACGGAGGGAAGGCTGTGGGGACTGTTTGCCCAAAAATGTTTAAGACAGTAAATTCTCTGTTGTCTGTCTTTGATCACAATTAAAAAATACTTATACTAAAACAATTGCACATGGATCTGAAATTCAAATTTAACTGGGCTTCCTGTGTATTAATCTGGCCTCCTTACACGGTGGGGATTACAATTAGAAATGGTCTTACCCAAGGGGGTCCTGGATGCTGACGCCGACATGCCAGGTCTCTGCTTCTACCCTTTGCTTGCAGGGAGCTGACATGGTAGGGGCAGGAAATGGGACCCAGATCCTTATTACGGCCAGTGAGACTCCTTATTTCCTTCTTAGCTTCCTGGATAACCATGCGAAGCTTATAAACACATGTGGGCTGCGTGCCTGTGGAGAGGGCAGGCAGCTCATGGGTCTCTTGGCTCAGTTTCCTTGTCTGTGAAACAAGGAAGCTGGGCCTGATGACCTCTCACATTTATTTTCCAGCTGCAGAGTTCTGTGAAGCCAGACAGTTGCCTGGGTATAATAATGATTTTAACATGACTTGGAAATTTTTCTATAATGGTGAAATCCCTTTCTATCCTTAGGGACCCACATATCTTTATGTGGTCATCGTTGCTATTCTCTTTACATTACTGTATGCTTTATTTATTTATTTTTATTTTAATTTTTTTTTAAGTAGGCTCCACGCCCAATGTGGGGCTTGAACTCATGACCCTCAGATTCAGAGTTTCATGCTCTACTGAATGAGCTGGCTTTCTAGATATAAACACAATGGAAGAAATCACAAAGAAAAAGAAAGATTTGGCTTACTGTAAAAAATTGAAATCTTACATATAATAAAAACATGATAATTATAATTAAAAAGGCAAAAAACAAATTAGGGAAAACATTTGCCAGAAGCAAAACAGAGGCCCCCCCAATCAATATGCCTAATATGGAAAGAGCTCTTTGCAAATGAGTCAGATAAATAGTAATAAATCGGTAGAAAGGGAGCAAAGGAGAGAAGCAGTTCACAGAAGAAATGACGCAAGCAACAAGACCAATAGACACTTAGGAAAGGTTTGCTAATAATCAGAGAAATGAAAATTGAAACCATATTGACTAATATAATTGGAGGAGATGCTATACGTTTTTTCATGAAATGAATTTTTTCTTTTGTCTTCATGAAAAAATGTGCCATTTTTTTAAAAAAAATCATCACAAGGTAATTAGAACTACAACCCGTTACACCCTCTATGGAGCTGATTTCAAGCCTTATCCTGTTTTATTACATTTTCGACAATTACAAATATATTCAGTCTGGGAACTTGAGGCATTGCCTTAGGAGGTTCCTGGGGGATAGGGGCATTAAAATTTCAGGAATGCCCCATTCGATAACCCTTCCCACTGCCATTGTGCTGAATTCTAGCCCCTGAGTAAACTTGGGTGTCCCCTTCTTCCTAACAATGAAAACAGTTTTGATGATAAAAAAATGTAAGGAAATCCAGCAAAACTTTGATTTTTCTGATTTGTACTATTTTTTAAAAAGTCACATTCATAAGTTTTTCCTTTTTATTTTTATTTTTTAATTATTTTTATTTTTTTTAAAGATTTTATTTATTTATTTGACAGAAAGAGGTCACAAGTAGGCAGAGAGGCAGGCAGAGAGAGAGGAGGAAGCAGGCTCCCCGCTGAGCAGAGAGCCCGATGCGGGGCTCAATCCCAGGGCCCTGGGATCATGACCTGAGCCAAAAGCAGAGGCTTTAACCCACTGAGCCACCCAGGCGCCCAAGTTTTCCCTTTTAAAAAAAAAAAATATAATAATTTAAGTGTGTGTGTGTGTGTGTGTGTGTGTGTGTATGACAACTTGGTGGTAAATTTGATGGTGTCCCTAAAACATGCTTAATTTGCCTTTTGGATTCTGGGTGTTGTCATTGGGAGTGGAGCTGGCCTGAGTCTAGAACACCAAGGAAGCCCAAGTATTGCTTCCTCTGCTCATTTGTTCTGACACTGGGATGACCCCTGTGCCGCTGGGGGCTCCCTGTGCGCTCAGCCCAGCAGCCACCTTCAGGCAGGAATTCAGTAACCCTGCAGGCCCTTAATTCAGCCCATAACCAGCCTCCAAGTGTGATTTCCACTAACCTAACCTGGTGCTTCTTTCCCCACGCAGCCTTGTTAATGAGGTTTACGAGGTAGACGACACCATCCAGACCTTGCAGCAGCGTCTGAGGGACGCGGAGGACACCCTGCAGTCGCTGGTCCACACCAAGGCCACCCTGGAGCATGACCTGGCGGTCAAAGCCAACTCCCTCTACATTGACCAGGAAAAATGCATGAGCATGCGCAAGACCTTCCCCAACACCCTCCGGCTGGTGGGCTTCTGTTAGGGGCCCCGCCAGGAGCCAGCAATGTGGAGCCACAGCCCTGTTGCAGTTAATTTAAACAGAGTGCTAATATAGTCACTTATTAAAGGATCGTGTTGATAGAAATGTACCGGTGTGCTGTCTCAGAGAATCTGTTGTTTACATCCAAACCTTCATTTTCTACTATGTACTAGACTTCTGAGCTGTGGGAAGAATATAAAGAAATATAATCAATCTAATAGAGAAGGTAAAAAAAAAAGATTATTTGTATTATTCTTGTTGTCGCCTGTGTAACATGAATGGGCTGGAAAGGAGAAATGTATTTCCTCTAGGTAGGTGGTGGGGGCAGGCATCACGAATAAGGTGGATTTTTAGCTCTGTCTGTAAGGAAACCCAGAGGAAAGGAGAAAGGCCCTTGGGTATGTGGTGGTTGGGGTAGTCTGAGCAAAAACAAGGGTGGAAAAGTGCACAGGGGATTTGGAACGATAGTAAGGAGACCGGTTTGACTGGGATTCATAATTCCAAGGGTATAATGTGGGGAGGTCTTTATCTCCAGGTCAAGGAGTTGAGGGGAGCTGACAGACCTTTCTGAGCATGGAAATGGCTGTATGAAATTGTGATCGAGCAATGATATTAGAGTGATAGCAGTAGAAACAAAGAAAGGAGAAATGCAAAACATATTCTAACCGATCAACAGGGCTTGGTAACTCTTTCCAAGGGAACCGAGTGCAAAGGGGTCCAGGATGGCAGAGGCGTTGACCCTAGATGAGTTGCAAAATGGGGCATTGCTTAAATTCCAGGAGGTCCTGTGGTATCCCAGGCGTTTTTGTTTAAAATAACTTTTTCTTTATTATAAATGAAAAACATTTGCATGACATATTTTGGAAATGAAAACACACACACACCAACTCCTAAGATGCACATGTTATCACAACACCCAGAAATGATCACTGAGGTCTGTCAACATTTTCTTTTCTGTGCTCTCAATTCCTTTGCTTTGACTCTCTGTGTATACGTATAATATTTATCTACACATGTGGGTAATAGGTAATGTTTATGGTTCTTTCCATATATAAATATGTCACTGGCTGTTTATCCACAGCATCATTTTTGAAAATCTTTCCTTTCCACCTCCAAAACCCAGTATGTTTTGCTTGTGGGAGCTTGAGAAAATACAGACCAAAAAAAAAAAAAAAAAAGAAGAAAATAAATGTCTTCTATTTTTCTAAACTAGGTACTTTGATATGTATAGATTTTTATTTCTGTACTTATACACTGGTGTTCCTCTCAAAAATCGGAATCATTCCAAATAAAGTAGCTAATACTTATAAAACACCTACTATGTGTCTGATACTGTTTTCAGTACCTTATTCATCTCAGCCCATTTATGCTTCTGTGCTGTATCCTCTTTACACTTTTCATGTCATTAAATATCTTTTCACAACTTCATTTTAATGGCTTTTTGATGTACCATTGTAAGGAAGTTCTAGAATGTTCTATAACATTCCCAATTTTTTTGGGAAAAAAGCCTTTATGGAGTGTTGTCATTTTGCCCTCTTGAGAGTTGTGTTACTCTGCACTCCTACCAATAGTCTATGAGAGGGTGAGTCTTTCTGCATTTTTGATAACTTGTGGGGTTTTTTTTTTAACCATTTAATAGTATAAAAATGGTCTTAATTGCTTTAACATCTTGTTCTTTGGACACCAGTGATGTAGAGCACTGTTCCCTGGGTCCTTGAATTTTTTCTGCTAATTGCTTGTTTTTGTTATTTTCCTATTTTCCCCAAACAGGAAGGGGAATTTTCTTTTTTTTTTTAATCTTTTTTTTTCCATTTATTTGTGAGAGTTCTCCATATATCAATCATAGGACACTTTCGCCATAGGTACTGAACATGGGTTCTTTATACGGCACTCACTTTTACATTTTGTTTATGGTTTTTAATGTACAGAGGGTGAAGTGTACAAATGTTTCCATTATGATTTATTTATGCCTTTGGAGTTACGCCGGGAAAGCTCTTCCTCATCTCAAGATTATTTACTTGTAATTTCTTCTAATTCCTCTAGTGTTTTCTGAACCATCTGGAATTCAACCTGATAGGATGTCGACAGCATTTTGACTTTGAATCCTTTGATGCAGAAATCCTGAGATGGGAAGTTGGGATTACCGGAGGGAAAGGCTTTCTGCCTGTCTCCTACTTGTCACTTAGGTGCAGCCCCCTCTCGCCCATTAGCTAGTTCCCATCTCTCTGTCTGTCCTCTTTACTTCCATCTAACTGCTGTTGATTAACCTCAAACCCCATCTCTCTCTCTCTCTCTTTCTGTTTCTTAAAAGTTTCTCAGATCTTGATTAGTCAACTTCATGAAACATCTCAAAATGCTAGAAAAGTTGACTTAAACATGGTGAGCTTGGACTGGAGATAGTTTTTCCGTCTCAATATATCATTTTAGAAATCAAATTGTAGGTTTTTGTCCTCCTGTCGCTTCTAATGGAAACAAAGATCTTTAAGTGCCACTCGAGCACTTAGGCAATGGGGGCAATTAAGCGTTGATGGTCATCACTTTTAGACGACAGTAAGAATAAACATAAATTCCACACGTCTCTAAGTTGTTATATGTTTCGGGGAAAATCTTGCCGACTTTTTCCATGAAGTGTTACTTTTTTTAAAGACTGTATGCCTGCGGAGTTTATTCCCTTAAACATATGTTGCTGGCATTGCAAGAATGTGATGGGAAGAAAACGCAGTTCAGACACAGAAAAAGCCAGTTTTCTTGTTATTTCGGTAACCCGTGGGCAAGACTAAGTTCCACAAATAAACATTTGGTTGCTCGTCTTAAATGTTGTGGCCGCTTCACGAGGGTAAATATTCTAATGCTGAAATCCACGAACAGCTAAGAGACACAAAGCGCGATCTTGTTTGAGAATCACACGACTGCGAATATCAACATGGGATGTGGCTTTATATACTCAATCCCCAAGTATCTTTAATAGTATGTGGCTTTAAGAAGGGCTGCTGGACCGTCAAAGGCTTCCACCTCCCCAAGCATCATTCAGATTTAGAAATGCGCGTAACTGCCCCAAATAGCCAAGTCACCTATAATTTTAGTAATGTCCATTTATGCTTCCGGGGAAGTGTTTTCATAAACACCTCACCTGGCACTTTTGAGTCTTGAGTTCATGCTGTAAATAGCTGAGGTGGGGTCTGGTTTTAGGTTATAATTTTTGCTTTGCTCCGAAAGCAGGGATGGAGTCCTTCCCTTTGTACGTCAGGGCTGGTTCAAGGCACATAGGAGGGGGCGGGGTGGCTGGTCATTGTCAGCGTCCACTCTGCTAGCCCTGACCTTTCAACTGTTCCCAGCAACGCTGGGTTCGCCCTTGGCGTGATTGCCAAGACCAGCCTTCTGTGCAGAGTGCTCTGATGGTATTTTTGGAACCCTATATATTCATGCATTCGTGGTGAAAAGAGACAATATTTAATTTCTTCACCAGAGCTGGACAATAGATTTCACTTTGCAGACCAGCTCTAGACCTTGGTAGTGTGTATTTATTGAGTGTTGAGTTGAGAAGGATTTGAGGCCCCGAGTGAGCTTGGACAGGTAAGAATCTAGAGGTGCCCTAGAAGACTGTTGTCTGCAAGGGGTCCAGGGCAGAGAAGAGGCAGCACGAATACAGTTAGCTTTTCTCTAAGTTGTTCTGAATCCTGTTCAGCTCAAATCTTTCTCTGTCAACATCTAGAAGTTTCTGCTTTGTGATCCATAGCTCATTCCCTCCGGATCCTGTTATTGCTAATTTTGCTGGGAGTTAATAGAAGTCCCTTTCTTCGCCAACTTTTTCCTTTTAGAAAAAGGACCTTCTAAAGAGCTCCCCAGGACCAAAATGCAACTCTGGTGTCTTCATGGCACAGTCAGGAGGGAGCTTGTTGGGGAAGAGGGAGCCTTTTACTGCTGCTATGAATGCTATCTCATTGTGTATGGATGGACAGAGCTGTGGGAACCAAACAAATTCTTTCTTTTTCTCAGTTACTTTTTCCTCCTCCCTGTAAGGTAAAGTGATAACTTTGAACTAAGTTTTAAGGCTCTCGTCTTGGGTATTTTAGGTCTTCAGTCACTCAGACATAAGGAATGCTTTTCCTACTCCCCTGACCCCCATCAAACGGTCCTCTGCTTGCCTGAGAACCTGCTCTTTATGGAAACCTATGCCTTCACTGATAACAAAAATTGTTATACGTTTTAGGGGGTATCCAATTTATTTGCAATAAGCTGATCCTTTCCACCTTTCAACCCCAGGCCACTTGATGTGTGTCACAAAGATGGAGGCTCTTTAAGAGAGATGAGGTCAGGCAACCTGAAGGGAAAATAATAAGCCAGGGCCACAGACAAGACTTAAAAGCACCATTTATATCACAGAATGAAAGATTAAAGCATTGACATATTTATTTATTTATTTATCTATCTATTTATTTATTTATTTATTTATTATTTATAAAGATTTATTTGTTTATTTGAGAGAGAGAGAACATGTGCATGAGGAGAGGGAGAGACAGAGAGAGAAGGAGAGAGAAATCCTCAAACAGACTCCCCTCTCTGAGTGCAGAGCCCGACTCGGGACTCAACCCCAGGACCCTGAGATCATGGATCATGACCTGAGCTGAAACCAAGAGTCAGATGCTCAACTGACTGTGTCACCTAGGCACCCCAAAGCATTGACACTTTAAAATAATGATGGTAGGGGCAACCAACTTTCTCATTTTCCTAAAAAGTAGATGTAGTAGATATTTCTCAGGATCTTGGGAGAAAAGAACCATACCTCCAAGTAGTCATGACATTGCAAAGTCCTCTCATTTCCTTGACTATGGGCTGACTTTCTGATCACTGCAGTGTAAAACTGTGCCAATTCTTGGCCAAGCCTTGGGAAGGCCTGGAAGCTTCTGCTTTTACGCTCCTGAGACCTAGTTGCCATATAAGAAGTGTGACTGCCCTGAGATCACCATGCTGTGAAGGAGCCCAAACAGCCACATGGGGAGGCTCCTGTGGAAAAGGACTTCAGC